CAGGGAGGGGTGCAGGAGGTCTGCGCTGTCCCCAATGTCCCCTGATGTCCCCCTGATGTCCCCGGGCAGCTCCACACGGACCTACCAGGTGGTGCTGGGCGAGTTCGACATGGGCTCTGAGGAGGGTCCTGAGCAGCGCATCCCCGTGGCCTCCAGCGACATCTTCGTCCACCCCAAATGGATGAGCTCCTGCGCGGCCTGCGGGTGAGCGGGGTCCCTGGGGGGAGGTTGGGGACGTTGTCCCCACCAGCCCCCTCCCCCCCGTGACACGTGTCCCTGCGTGACAGCAACGACATCGCCCTGATGAAGCTGCAGCGCCCGGCCGTGCTCAACACCCAGGTGCAGGAGGGACGGCTGCCACCCCCGGACACCGTCCTGCCCGATGGGTACCCCTGCTACCTGAGCGGCTGGGGACGGCTCTCCAGTGCGTCCAGGGGGGGACACGGGGGCAGGGAGGGAGGGAGGGATGGGGAGATGGATGGGGAGATGGTTGGAGGGATGGATGGGGAGATAAATGGGGAGATGGCTGGAGGGATGGATGGGGAGATGGTTGGGGAGAAGGGAGATGGATAGGGAGAGGGGACACGGTTGGGGAGATGGTTGGAGGGATGGATGGGGAGATTGTTGGGGAGATGGGGAGATGGATGGGGGGATGGTTGGAGGGATGGAGGGAGAGATGGATGGGGGATGGATGGATGGAAGGAGGGAAGGAAGGAAGGTTGGAGGAGAGAATGGAGAAATGAATGGGTGGTGGGATGGAAGGAAGGAGGATGGTTGGGAGATGGTTGGAGAGATGGGGACATGGTTGGGGAGATGGTTGGAGGGATGGGGAGATGGTTGGGGAGGTGGTTGAGGAGATGGGGAGATGGATGGGGAGATGGGGATGGGGAGATGGTTGGGGAGAGGGGACATGGATGGGGAGATGGTTGGAGGGATGGGGAGATGGTTGGAGGGATGGGGAGATGGATGGGGAGATGGTTGGAGGGATGGATGGGGAGATGGTTGGGGAGATGGGGAGACAGATGGGGAGACGGTTGGGGAGATGGGGAGATGGATGGGGGGATGGTTGGAGGGATGGAGGGAGAGATGGATGGGGGATGGATGGATGGAAGGAGGGAAGGAAGGAAGGTTGGAGGAGAGAATGGAGGGATGAATGGGTGGTGGGATGGAAGGAAGGATGGAGGGCTGGAGGGCTTGAAGGATGTGGGAACGAAGGGATGGATGGATGGATGGATGGATGGATGGATGGATGGATGGATGGATGGATGGATGGATGGACAGCTGGCTGGCCATGGATGGTGAGGGCAGGCATGGCCCCCCCCCGGCTCCCCTAACACCCGTTTGGCAGCGGGGGGGCCGCTGCCGGAGCGTCTGCAGCAGGCGCTGATGCCCGTGGTGTCCTTTGAGCGCTGCACCCAGCCCGACTGGTGGGGCAGCCTCTCCATCCGCCGCACCATGATCTGCGCCGGCGGCGCCGAGAAGGCCGGCTGCAACGTGAGTGCCACGGCCCAGCGGGGCCACCCGGGGACGGGGGGGACACACCGGGACCCCCGCCCCGGCGCTGACCCCCCCCACCCCATCCCGTACCCCAGGGCGACTCGGGGGGTCCCCTGAACTGCCAGACGGCCGACGGGACCTGGGAGGTGCACGGCATCGCCAGCTTCGTCTCGGGGCTGGGCTGCAACGCGCCCCGGAAACCCACCGTCTTCACCCGCGTCTCCGCCTTCGAGGACTGGATTGCAGAGGTGGGGGCGGGGGTGATGGGGTGCCAGGGCAACGGGGTGCCAAGGTGTCAGGACAATGGGGTGTCAGGGTGCCAGGGTGCTGGGGTATCAGGGGGACCTGGTTTCAGGGTGCCTGGCATGCCAAGACAGCAGGGTACTGGGTGCCAGGGTGCCGGGGTGCCAGGGTGTCGGGGTGCCAGGGTGTCAGAGTGCTGGGGTGTCAGGGTGCCAGGGTGTCGGGGTGTCAGGGGGACCTGGTTTCAGGGTGCCTGGCATGCCAAGACAGCCAGGTACTGGGTGCCATGGTGCCAGAGTGCTGGGGTGCCAGGGTGTTGGGGTGCCCAGGGTGCCAGGGAACTGGGGTGCTAGGGTGTCGGGGTGCCAGGGTGTTGGGGGGCCCAGGGTGCCAGGGGGCGGGGGTGCCAGGGTGCCAGGGTGCTGGGGTGCCAGGGTGTCAGGGTGCCAGGGTGCTGGGGTGCCAGGGTGTCAGGGTGCCAGGGTGCTGGGGTGCCAGGGTGTCAGGGTGCCAGGGTGCTGGGGTGCCAGGGTGTCAGGGTGCCAGGGTGCTGGGGTGCCAGGGTGTCAGGGTGCCAGGGTGCTGGGGTGCCAGGGTGTCAGGGTGCCAGGGTGCTGGGGTGCCAGGGTGTCAGGGTGCCAGGGTGCTGGGGTGCCAGGGTGTCAGGGTGCCAGGGTGCTGGGGTGCCAGGGTGTCAGGGTGCCAGGGTGCTGGGGTGCCAGGGTGTCAGGGTGCCAGGGTGCTGGGGTGCCAGGGTGTCAGGGTGCCAGGGTGCTGGGGTGCCAGGGTGTCAGGGTGCCAGGGTGCTGGGGTGCCAGGGTGTCAGGGTGCCAGGGTGCTGGGGTGTCAGGGGGACCTGGTTTCAGGGTGCCTGGCATGCCAAGACAGCAGGGTACTGGGTGCCATGGTGCTGGGATGCCAGGGTGCTGGGGTGCCAGGGTGTCGGGGTGCCCAGGGTGCCAGGGAACAGGGGTGCCAGGGTGCCAGGGTGCTGGGGTGTCAGGGTGCCAGGGTGCTGGGGTGTCAGGGGGACCTGGTTTCAGGGTGCCTGACGTGTCAAGACAGCAGGGTACTGGGTGCCAGGGTGCTGGGGTGCCAGGGTGTTGGGGTGCCAGGGAACTGGGGTGTCAGGGTACCAGGGAACTGGGGTGCTAGGGTGTTGGGGTGCCAGGGTGTTGGGGTGCCAGGTTGCCAGGCTGCTGGGGTATCAGGGGGACATGGTTTCAGGGTGCCTGGCATGCCAAGACAGCAGGGTACTGGGTGCCAGGGAACTGGGGTGCCAGGGTGTCAGGGTGCCAGGGTGCGGGGGTGCCAGGGCGTCAGGGGGCCCAGGGGGCCAGGGAACTGGGGTGAGAGTGCTGGGGTGTCAGGGTGCCAGGGTGTTGGGGTGTCAGGGAGACATGGTTTCAGGGTGCCTGGCATGCCAAGACAGCAGGGTACTGGGTGCCAGGGTGCTGGGGTGCCAGGGTGTTAGGGTGCCAGGGAACTGGGGTGTCAGGGTCCCAGGGAACTGGGGTGCTAGGGTGTTGGGGTGCCAGGGTGTTGGGGTGCCAGGTTGCCAGGCTGCTGGGGTATCAGGGGGACATGGTTTCAGGGTGCCTGGCATGCCAAGACAGCAGGGTACTGGGTGCCAGGGAACTGGGGTGTCAGGGTACCAGGGAACTGGGGTGCTAGGGTGTTGGGGTGCCAGGGTGTTGGGGTGCCAGGTTGCCAGGCTGCTGGGGTATCAGGGGGACATGGTTTCAGGGTGCCTGGCATGCCAAGACAGCAGGGTACTGGGTGCCATGGTGCCAGAGTGCCAGGGTGCTGGGGTGCCAGGGTGTCGGGGTGCCCAGGGTGCCAGGGTGTTGGGGTGCCAGGGTGCTGGGGTGCCAGGGTGTTGGGGTGCCAAGGTGTCAGGGCGATGGGGTGTCAGGGGGACCTGGTTTCAGGGTGCCTGGCATGCCAAGACAGCAGGGTACTGAGTGCCAGGGTGCTGGGATTCCAGGGTGCTGGGGTGGCAGGGTGTCGGGGTGTCATGATGCCAGGGTGTTGGGGTACCAGGGTAGTGCCAGGGTGCTGGGATTCCAGGGTGCTGGGGTGGCAGGGTGTCGGGGTGTCATGATGCCAGGGTGTTGGGGTACCAGGGTGCTGGGGTGCCAGGGTGTTGGGATGCCACGATGCCAGGGTGTTGGGGTACCAAGGTGCTGGGGTGCCAGGGTACAGGATGTTGGGGTGTCAGGGTGTTGGGGTCCATGATGCCAGGGTGTTGGGGTACCAGGGTACAGGGTGTTGGGGTACCAGGGTGCTGGGGTGGCAGGGTGTTGTGGTGCCATGATGCCAGGGTGTTGGGGTACCAGGTTACAGGGTGTTGGGGTGCCACGATGCCAGGGCACTGGGGTACCGGGGTGCTGGGTGCCGTGGGGGTGCTGCCCCCCACCCTGAGCAACTTCTCCCCCCCCAGATCATGAGCCAGAACTGAGCGTTGGTGACGGCGACCTCCCCGTGTGGCATCGGGCAAATAAACCCACAGCTCTGGCACGGCGCGTGTCCCTGTGCTGCAGAGGGGCGGGGGGTGGCACTGGGCGAGCGGGCACGGGGGTGCCCAGATACCAAGGGGATGGGCACCCAAAGACAGCCAGGGGACGAGCACCCTGAGGTGCCCTGAAGCCACGGGGATGGGCACTGTGGGGCACCGTGGTGCCGCGGGGATAGGCACCCCGAGATGCCTTGATGGTGCAGGGATGGGGCCCCCTTGGGTGCCAGGATGCCATGGAGAGGGCCCCCTCAAGGCACCTGGATGCCACCTGGCCCCTCCAAAGTGCCCTGATGCCACAGGGATGGCCACTCAGCATCCTGTCCCAAGGGGGATGGGCACCCTGGGGTGCCCTGAGGTCATGGGGATGGTCGCCCCCTCAACGTGCCCTGATGGGTGATGGCCACCCAGTGTTGTCCTGTCACCACAGGAACAGGGTCCCCTTGGGTGCCAGGATGCCACGGGGAGGGTCCCCTCAAGGCACCTGGATGCCACCTGGCCCCTCCAAAGTGCCCTGATGCCACAGGGATGGCCACTCAGTGTCCTGCTGCAAGGGAGATGGGCCCCCTGAGGTCATGGGGATGGTCACCCCCTCAATGTGCCTGGATGCCATAGTGATGGCCACCCAGTGATGTCCTGTCACCACAGGAACAGGGCCCCCTTGGGTGCCAGGATGCCATGGTGATGGCCCCCTCAAGGCACCTGGATGCCACCTGGCCCCTCCAAAGTGCCCTGATGCCACAGGGATGGCCACTCAACGTCTTGTCCCAACGGGGATGGGCCCCCTGAGGTGCCCTGAGGTGCCCTGAGGT